TTCCAACGAGAAACATGTGAAAAAAAAAATAAAAAAGAGAAAGGAAAATATATTTAAATATAAAAAAAAACACGTGCATAGTGTTCGACTAATTGTGAAAAAAAAAAAAAAAAAAGAAAACGTATATTTCCTTTTTTAATTGAGAAAATATTAAAATCTTGCTCGTTACTCTTTTACTCGCTTAATACGGTGATATTTTACAAAATCTTTCTAATTAATTCGTTTGAAAGATGAATTTGTACTATTAATCAATTAATAATCAAAAATATAAAATTTACACTCGTGTACATATTTCTCTTATTATGAATGAAAATATTAAACAATGTTTAACGATTATCAAACACAACCATATTAAAGATTAAGCTATCTATTCTGGATAATAATGTCCATCAAATATTCAGAAGCATTTCACCGCAAAGTTATGTTATTCGTGTTCGTTCAGATATGCCAGGGTAATTTCAGCAATTTGTGTTTATGGCAAATGGTTAGAGAAAGAGAAACTGGCGAGTGGTATATTGATACGAGAAGATAACAAAACCGATAAAATATTACGCTGTTCTACGATATAGCTCTAATGACAGTAAAAATAATAATAATAATAATAATAATAATAATAATAATAATAATAATAATCAAATAATAATTTAAATAATTTCATTTTTTATCAAATTCACATTCATTTTCTCTTATAAATATCCTGTTTCTCGAGGTTTACGTAATGAAATCTAATTTTTGGGCCATTTTTTTACACTGTTTTTCAATATAATACAATACAAATGAAAAGTTAAAGGAAAATTATCTGTACATAGAACACAAATAAGAAGTATTCGTATCAGAGTTTTGATAAATCGTCAGAGACACGCATCTCGTTTTTGCATCAGCGAAAATGAAACTGACGAGACCGTTATTATCGCACGTCGAAAAGTCAGCAGAAAAATTGTCGAGAATTTTAAGGAGCGAAGAAAAAAGCATGCACCGAAAAAGATAGATCGACGTGAAAGGACAGAAAATAACAAAAAGATAAAAAAAAAAAGAAACATGTGTTCATATCACATAAATTAGAAATGAACTCTTTTAATAAACAAGTTTCGAAGATAATTTATTCTATAATATTATTATAATATTATTTGTTTTTATAATTTGTAATTATTTATTTAATTATCAATTTAATTGTATAAAAATGCGCGCCTGTTTGTATGCAACCTTCCAGACACACTTTGAAAATGTTGCTTGCAAGCGCCATCTACTGGAATGGAATTTTTTTGCAATCAAAACTGTTTATACACGTATGTATGACGGGTTGCCTATCTTTCGGGCAGAAACAAATTCCGTCCCGACAGAGTAGTTGTATCTCTGATTAACATGAACCTTTTTCAGGAGAATATTTTACAAGAGATTTACTACTCATTTATCGAATCAAACTCACGGTCTATAAATGCTTTTCAACAAATAGAGATGTCTTCAGCTCTTGGATATCGTATATCTACGTGCTAACTCAGTATCACACAGTTGAAAATTAATAGGATATGAACTAATTCGAGAAGGTAATAAATCTCGATCGTTTCGCCGTTTCCTTTTAACTTACCTACCTAAACTAGAAATCCCTCTGTGCCGTCTACGAACTACTCTTACTCTAGTTAAATTTCTGCGCATGGATCGCGCGTAGCCAGATAAATTCGATTAACCTGCAAGTTTCGTTAACAACCAACGTTAAACTAACGCTATTACCAGTAATTCCAATTTGTCATCAAGAAGCCTACGACAGAGAGAAAGAGAGAGAGAGAGAGAGAAACCTTGTCCAAAGAAATATACAAAATTGAAACCAAATAAAATAGGTCACATAGAAGTTTGCTTGTTCTTGTCTATTATTTAATAATAATTTTTATATATTTTCTTATTAAATAAATTCTTATTTACTATAGTTTGACATTATATTATATATTTATTAATTTTGAAATGCAATCGCAATCAAATATTTTCCTTGCTCTTAAAGCATAGTATTATTCATTTTTATTTCATTGTTTTCAACAATCCATCGTTCAAAATTTTATTTATTTCTGTTTCTTTATCATTAAATATTAATGAAGTACTGGCTTCGCTCTTTTTTATTTAATGAGCAGTTCAAGTACGATTTAACAGGAAAAATATTTTATCATTTTGTTTGAGTTTTGATAACTAGTGTTGACATTTTCTTCGAAACAATCTTTTAATACCATCATACATGAAGTTTTGGTACGCATACATAGAGAAACATACAATGTATGTAATAAATAATATGCACAAAAGGTAATTTATTTTTTATATGTTTTAAAATATACATTATTCTCTCACAAGTGCTATCATTTTCTCACATAATGTATTGCAACATATATCCGTAAAGAGTTTATAATTACTTATAATTTCTCATTGCTAATTAA